TTCAAAGAAACCAACACAGTGTGAAAAAAGCTACTTATCACCCTCAGAATCTGTTTTTCTTCCTTCTTCTTTAGTAATAGAACATCTTAAGGTAAGGCTTCACCGTGGCTACCTTGAGACTACCTGCCCCAGCCTCCCTTGCAATGAGACTGGGTGGTTTATGAATAATATGGCTGCCTGCCTTTGATTCTTTCCATTTGCCTGCTGGTTTTGAAATGAAAACTCACCAATGCCCAACCAATTATCTAAGATTTCCTTGTTTTAGAAAAGCTGCTGAAAAACCCAAATGTGATTGTTGTGGGAGAGGAAAAGAAATACCAATGCTGTCCAGTAAACTTTCTATAGAGTATTGTGTGAAGGGAAAATATCTACTCAGTGAAGGAATCCACTAACTCATTGGGTCCTCAGAATAATCTCTGAGGTACATAGAGTACGACAGAATTATTTGAACTTAACAGTTGAAAAATAAAAACCCAGAAAGGTTGAGTGATAGCTCCAGGTCAGCCAACTGGTAAGCAGGACTGCAGGGCTGGTTCTTATTTCAAATCCAAGCTATAGGATTTGAGTTCTCCACCTACTGATCCTGAAGAAGGTTTTAACAATCAGATTGATTATTGGTGTGGCTGAAACTTAATTATACACTTTACAAACAGGATGGACCAGTCTCCGGCTGGCACTTGGTGATTCAGTTTTTTCCTTACACACCATACTGTGTTTTGTATTGAGGCAGGAAGTGTGACTGAACAGCACACATTCTCTCCTTCAGTTAGCCTCATCCAGCATTTGAGCAGTGTTAGAAGTAGCATCCTAAGAGAGACCCATGATGATGTGATGATGTGATAGTTTGGGAAAAGCAACAGTAGGTAGGTTAGAAATAATCGAGATGGCTCTGCTTAGAAAAGCAAGCAAGTCACTCTGAGTTTAAATGAAATGAACCCTGTACTTTTGTGATAAAGAAACAGAAAGACATTTGTGCTTGTTACTTAATTCATCTGGCTCTAGGCATTTGGGAATTCTAATATAAAAAAATAATCAGTTAACTGAAGGCTGAGAACCCTTTCTCCCCACCCTGAAATGCCCTGGGATGATTATAAAACTTTCTCTGCCTGGTATAATACAGAAAGATACTAATCTTGAAAGGCCTTTTTATCCCACCAACTTGTATGACACTTTGACTTAGCATGGCATTTTTCTGTCTCTCCTCTCTGACTGGTTCTGGTTTTCCCAGGTGAACTAACTTGCCAGGGGAGTACAAATCAGTCATGACATATACTTTAATCAGCCACTAACCCACAGTCTACTTTGTGAAGAACAGACATTTTCCATGAAGTACTGAGTAAACAATAAAAACCTAGAAGATATACAAGTCTGCACGTTTTCTTTTAAAAGTAAAACTTCATTGCTTTTAAGATCAAATGTCCTATATTTGAAATTCAGTTGAGTTCTCGTGTGTTTTCACATTCCATAAGAGTCTGCAATATGTTTCATGCACAAAGGGAAGATTGAAAAAAAAAAACTGCTTATGATCTGAACTTCTAAGACCCTGAATTTTTGTGTTTTGTAACACAGAATTTTAAAAAATTTTCTCCTAATTTGCATCATGCATTATTGTTAATGAATTGGGAGAGACAAAGTGCTTACCAGTCTCTGAAAACAAAAAATTTGAGTGTGTACTAGTAGGTGAAGCATAATGGCTGTGAGTTTGTAGAAATGTTGGGTCTTTTTCTATCCAAATGGTGATCTAAGAATATTTCTCCTACCCTTCTTTATTGTCTCTCACCCTCACTAACAACTACCAGTTATTGAGTGATGGCTGTGTATCAGGCCCAGTGCTACATATAACCCCATTTAGTTCTTTTAACCACCCTACACATTTGGGGGCATTACCATTGTGCAAATGAGGAAACTGCATTGAAAGAGAGATTAAACATCATGCTCAAGGTTTACACAGCAAATAGACATCAGAGACAGGCTTTGGGTTGCTTCCCAAACTGTTTCCTTCATCATTCTACAATACTATAGGATTAAAAACAACTTGGCCCCATGACTGGCAAAAGCCTTACAGCCAAAATACATAAAGGACACTAGCTGGGTATTCTGGGAGGGAAGACTAACACAGTCACCAACATTCATAGCTTTAATTAAGAAACATTATGTGGAAAGGATAGGAGGACTCAGCCTGTGGATCTTTGATCAACCCTTTTTCAAAAGAGCCTTTTGGCATCAGTTCGGTTCTCTTACTGTTGGCAAATCTTCCTCCTTCTGGCCTGTTTTCAGACCATATAATTATAATATAGCAGGCATGTGGTTCAAGAGGCTGAGCATGTTCAAGGCCTCCCATTCCAGCCTTTGTTTCATTTGAGTTTGCCAATTTGACCTTCATTTGTGCCTGGCCATTGGTAACTTGCTGCATGCACAGGTCCATGCAAACAGCTGAAGCATGATTCTCCTTTTATAAGTCTGCTCTCATGGACCTTTAAATAATGCATTTTTTTCACTTTTTCCAGGTGGTCCAAGGCAGACACTTGTAAAATACTCTCCCTCCAATAAACTCTTAAATTGTTTGAATGTAGAAAAATAAAGATAAAGAAGCAAAACCCATTGTCAGATTTAATAGAAGAAGAAAGGAGGAGGCAAACAATGGTACAGAGTGGACACCTGCTTACATAACCAATCAGGGGAAGGCAGGACAGTGATTGACACAAGATGGCTCATTTATGGTTTTTTGAGCTGAATGGCATGTTTTGTAAATGAAACAGGAAAACTGCAAATTGAAAAAAGGAAGTGGCTTCTGACCCTGTCTAGTCTCAAGAATGAACAAGCACACCTGATTATGATCAGTGTCAAACAACATTTACCAATTTCTATGAAACTGAGAAGGGAAAGAAAGGTCTGTGAGTCATGAGCAACCAAGAGCAGATTCACTGCACTGTTCACTGTGCACGTTCTGATTCTTTGTGATTCTGGGGGAAGGCTGGTTGTTTTCAGTGGAAGCATATACAGTCTGTGGGAATCTCAATTTTATCAAGCCATGTTAGCTAAGAAATTACATGTGAGCCAACTTGAATTATATTTTTACATGCAAGACTCAGAAAATCAGCAAGACTCCTGAATGTTACTTCTTAAAGTAAAAATTAAGGGGAGAAATAAATTACAAAAAATGTTCTACAGATCTACAAAAAAATAACAGATCTACCTTAAGAAAACAGGATAAGCCATAATTTGATCTTATAAAATGGATAAACTAGGGGTTAGTTGCTTCCTTGGCTGGGATTTAACTCCTGCCCTCCCTCCCCCAATGGAAATCCTGTAACAGGCATTGAAAGAGAGCTCGTTAAATGCATTGTATATTTCCTCATAATGGAATACTAGGCAGCTTTGCAAAGAGTGGAAGACACCTGTGTCTAAGTGACCTGAAGAAACATGACACAGTGTGGAACAGGGTACAAAGTTAGGTTTTTTTTTTTTCCTCTGTAAAAGCTTAGGACACACTGACAAAGTCTAAATGAACCATTTCATAGCCTTCTCTTGACACGGGTCATTGTAGGGGAGAAATGGGGACGGCAGAAGGACATCCTGCCATCACTGACATGTTTCTGTGGTGTTTGCTTTTCCTGTTTTCTTTTACAATGAATATTTACACATTTTGGTAAAAATTAAAGTATATCACTGTAAATAAAAATCATTTTGAAAAAATTATATGGCTCTCATTTCTAATTTGGTCTGAAAAGCAAATTTTCAAGTATCCCCTTCCTTCAACTGCTCTTGGTCACAGGACGTACAGAGACAACATTCTATTTGTATGACTACATAAATGCTCTCTCACTGTTCTCAACTAGATGGATCTTGATTATAAATTAATGTTTTAATATTTTTATTGATAATTTGGATAAGCCTCAATGCCCAACTAGTCTGATTCGGAGAGATGGATAGGCAGTGGAAGGGGACTTTGATGACCCTGGCCTGTGCTTTTATGTTGTCTGCATCAGTTTATCACCATAAAATGGAGAGAAAACAGAAGCTTTACTCATTCTCTTAATTTAAAGGAATATTGTGAACATTGATTGAAACTGAAAGGACACTTAGATGGAGAGCCTGTGTTATGATTACAAGGGCCTAACTTCACAAAGAATATGGCTGTTTTTCTAAAACACATTAATGATAGAAGTTATTGAATGCTGTGATGTTGGGGTGTCGTAACGCAGGCAGCCTGACCATGGTCTGTTATTATAGGTCATTGTTTCTTTGCTGTGACTCCTAGTGATGCAGCAGAGCATAGCAAGGGTGGCGAAACAGACCAAGCAGCATGAGGAAATCTTTACATCCTTAGAATACTGACTAGGCCTGGGCAGCTGGGTAGTTATGTCTATGGACTCATCAGTTCTTACATAGGCAAAAATGTATTGTATGTTTGTGCTTTGATCAAAAGAAACAACTTCATAATCAAGTTTCAAATTGAAAATAATGTATCTTATCAGCTCTGGAAAATCCAAACCCAAAAGTGTGACTCTTTACTAAATAGCACATAACTTAGTTTCTTTACAAAAAGCAGACATGTTTAGTGTGGGAATTTGTGAAACAAAGAGATGCAAATATAGCAAGAGTAGTAAAAAGAAGACTACAGTACTCATAACTATAGTGTTGAGAGGTAATGGCATCAAAAAATTTTGGCTTATGTCTTTACAATTCATCCGTTTATCCATCCAATTAAATATGTAACTGCATGTATATGTGCATATATAAAATTTATTTAAAAAATGACATCGTCCTTTTTATGCTCAGTTAAGATAGAAACCTCCTTGTGTGCACTTGCGAACTATATTGTTATCTGTGTTAACCTTTGTGCACACATTTCACACTTAACCTGAGCCTTCCCTGAACCCATGGCTTCACCAATCAAATGTCCTTTGCCCAAGACTCTTCAGTGCCTCTCAATGCAATGTTCCCAGCTCTAGAACAGCTCAAGGTTCTCCAAAGTGTCTAAAGTGATTCACACTTACTTTCCGAGGTTTCACTTTGTCTTGTAAATCATACTGGCCAATTCCTTTATAGCTGATTCCAAGCCACCAAGGAAGTCCTTGTTTATCCTGGAACATGGAAAAGCATGAGAACCAAGACCTAATTGTTAAGTCTTCTAGAGGTGAAGTAATGTTCACCAGTTTCATTCTTTAACAAGTATAAGCAAGCCAAAATAAAGCTGTCTTGGTAAACAAAACAGTACTTGAAAACTTAACTTGTTATTAAAATTCCTCCTTAGAGCTTCTTCAAATAAGATCTGTAAGTCAAAAGGGACCAATGCTATTAATACCATCAAAAAGAATAAAGCATTACTGTTTTAATTAAACAGTTGGAGAAGAAATAAAATGTAAGTAATTCAAGAATTATTCCAAAGTACAAAGCCAGTTATCTGTTAAAAAAAAAAAAAAGAAAGAAAGAAAAGCTCTTTGTTCTCTTGATTAGTAACCAGCTGTAAAGGTTAGGGAACTTTCCAAAGAATTACAAAGATATAAAAAGTGGTTCCAAATCTTGATGTTTATAATACACTTAACAGTGCACATGAGAAGACTGAAAAACAGGATGTTTGAATAATGTCTTTGGGGCACATATGGGGAGGGGAGAATTTTTTTTTCATAAATTTATCTTTTCGGTCTTGAAAAGCAAAGAGGTATTGACACAGGGAAAGAAAAACTTAGGCTGAAACATATACCTATAGGCAAACCCACTAAGAATCAGTAGGAATTAAAGTTGCATTAGTATACATTTTTAGTACAGGGTGTCCCCATTATGCAAGTATTTAGTTCCCATTCCCCACCATTTTGAATTGCAAACATTGTTGGAATTTGAAAAGTCAATCAAGATTGATCATTTGGAAAACTAACTCCTCTTTCAAACAACACTCCTGTCTTAACTTGATTTATCCCTTATCATTACACAATATTTCTCCCTACTGTAAATACTTGAAAACACGGCACAAATAAAAGCATATTGAGCAAAAATTGGTATTGCAAATCCTAGAAAAATGTGAGAATTTTATGAAGCTATTCAAATGACATTGGAGAGTGGATGGTTCTCATACAAAGGCACTATTAAATGAATTTCTGGTAGCACTAGGAAAGGAAACAACTGGAAAAGAGAAGAATAAATAAGAATAGCTAATGGAACAGGTGTGCTGAGAGGATGATCTGAATATCTTAGGACAAACAGGCTTTGGGGAAACATTTAAACATAGCAAGTATTTGGCAGAAATGTGTTTTGTAATTTGCTAAAACTGACAAGATATAATTAAGCTTTAATATTTTTTAAGAAAATCAATCCTATTCTCAATGCTCAAATTTCTAGAGACAATTTACATATATTTGCATATTGATTTATGTAATTTTAGAAAGTTGGTGTTGTTCAGTAACTCTCATAGAATTACAAGGGCAAGGGCATTATGAAAGCTTAGCCATGTACAAGTATTTACCTTTACTGCATAATAGTGGACTCCATATGTTGGTAGAGCTTCTACTATTTTCATATACCTGTAGAAAATGAATATATATTATAAGCTCTTATTAAAATAGAGAGTTCTTCTGGGAGAAGTGCTTGAAAGAAACACATTTTGTATCTACCTTCCTCATTATAACCATGTATTTAATTAAAGTAGAAATAAAATAAACCATTCTAGGGAATAATATATTTACTTTATCCCAATGTTAGAAAGTAGCTAACAAAACTTCAATTTCAAAAAGCTATAGGAAATATTATTTTCAGCATATTAAGAGTTATGTGGCTTAGAAACATATATGACTATATGATACACTCAAACTGCAAGTATTTTTTAAACTAAGCACCTAATAATGCAAAGCAATGAAAATCAACTTTTGGGTCATTCTCGTAAGTAAAAAATAAAACTATTCCATGTATTGATCATAATAAACTCTAAGAAATATATAATCAACTCCTACATCAAGCCTCTTAGAAATAGACACTTAAAAACAAATAAGTTTATTCTATAAAAACCTGATACTAAAAAATATGCCCACTCCCGCCCCAAAATAAAAATTAATGGTGCTACCATTTGCTATTTTTTTTTAAATAGCTTGTTTTCTATCTATTGCCCATGTCTACTATTGTACTAAAAGGCCCACAAGTGTAACTGCAGATAACATTTACACCATTTAAAAAATTTTTTTTCTTTTTTCTCCCCTTTATTCCCCTCCACCCTGCACCCCCCTCCCCCCAGCACCCCCCCCCCGCCCCGCCACCGCCCCTTAGTTCATGTCCATGGGCCATTCATATAAGTTCTTTGGCTTCTCCATTTCCTATACTATTCTTAACCTTCCTCTGTCTATTTTGTACCTACTATTTATGGTGCTTATTCCCTGTACTTTCTCCCCCATTCTTCCCTTTCTCCCTCCCCTCTCATCTCCATTTCTATGATTCTGTTCCTGTTCTAGTTGTTTGCTTAGTTTGTTTTTGGTTTTGGTTTTTTTTTTTTAGGTCCAGTTGTTGATAGTTGTGAGTTTGTTGTCATTTTACTGTTCCTAGTTCTTGATCTTCTTTTTCTTAGATAAGGTCCTTTAACATTTCATATAATAAGGGCTTGGTGATGATGAACTCCTTTAACTTCACCTTAACTGGGAAGCACTTTATCTGCCCTTCCACTCTAAATGATAGCTTTGCTGGATAGAGTAATCTTGGATGTAGGTCCTTGGCTTTCATGACTTTGAAAACTTCTTGCCAGGCCCTTCTTGCTTGCAAGGTTTCTTTAGGGAAATCAGCTGATAGTCTTATGGGCACTCTTTGTAGGTAACTGTCTCCTTTTCTCTTGCTGCTCTTAAGATTCTCTCCTTATCTTTAATCTTGGGTAACTTAATTATGATCTGTCTTGGGTGTGCTTCCTTGGGTCCAACTTCTTTGGGACTCTCTGAGCTTCCTGGACTTCCTGGAAGTTTATTTCCTTTGCCAGATTGGGGAAGTTCTCCATTATTTTTTCAAATAAGTTTTCAATTTCTTGCTCTTCCTCTTCTCTTTCTGGTACGCCTATGATTTGGATATTGGAACGTTTAAAGTTGTGCCAGAGGTTCCTAAGCCTCTCCTCATTTTTTTTTTAATTCTTGTATCTTCATTCTCTTCTGGCTGAATGTTTATCTCTTCCTTCTGCTCCAAATCATTGGTTTGATTCCCAGTTTCCTTCCTTTTACTGTTGGTTCCCTGTATTTTTTTCTTTATTTCACTTTGCATAGCCTTCACTTTTTCCTCCATTTTGAGACCATACTCAACCATTTCTGTGAGCATCCAAATTACCAGTGTTTTGAACTGTACATCTGATAGGTTGGCTCTCTGTTCATCGCTTAATTCTATTTTTGGAGCTTTGATATGTTCTTTCATTTGGGCCATATTTCTTTGTCTCGGTGCACCTGTTACTTGTAAGGAGCAGAGCCTTAGGGATTTGTCAGGGCGGGGCAACCCAGATCGCTGAGTTCTGATGCTGTATGTGGGGGAGGGGCCCGAGAGGGAAAAACACTGCTTGCTCAGCTCCCCACCAGCTTCCAGTCACTTCCCCTGCTATCCTCAAGCAAACTGGGCCCATCTGGTGCTGATTTCTGGGAGCTGGGCTTGTGTGTGCTCTAGGACCTCTCAAGTCTCTCCAGCGGACTCTCCTGTGAGGCTGGGAGTTTCTCCCACTGCTGCAACCCCCACAGGTTTTTACCTCCAGAGGTTTTGAGGCTTTCTTTTCCCATGCTGGAACCCTGGATTGCGTGGTCTGTCTCGCTCCCAAGCTGTTTCTCATGGTTTAACTGCATGCAAATGTGGGACCACCGGGTCCTCCAGCCACTGCATTGCCCCACGTCCTCTCTGACATGCAACTTGTCTCTGTCCCTCGTACTGGTCTGGATGAATGTTTCTTCTTTAGCTCCTTGGTTGTCGGATTTCCATACAATTCGATTTTCTGGCAGTTCTAGTTGTCTTTTATTTTTAAATTTGTTGTGTCCTTCTTTTGGTTGTGGGAGGAGGCAAAGTGGACCTACCTACACCTCCATCTTGGCCGGAAGTCACCATTTGCTATTAGTAATTCGACAAGTATTTATTGTGTACCTCTAAGACTCTACGGAGTGGACTAAATTGTGTAAGACTTCCTCTCTGCCTATAAGGAATTGAAGCTCAGATTTGATAAAAGTGGACTTAATAATAGTTGAAGATTAATTGCTCTGGACTTTGTAATCAATAATTTGATAATTTTAAAAGCAAAGAGTCTACATGTAAGTGAATATAAGAGGTCAGGTAAGTGTGCCAAAATAATGTATCAATTACACTGCGTAGCCAGGATTCTAATAAATTGAGTTGAATTTTACAGTCTAGAGCCTTAACTATCAAGTTAGATAGTCTTTTATTTGGAGCCAGAATGATAATGATCAGGGGAAATAAAAAGACTCTGCATTTAAGCAAGTATACTTCATAATATGCTCACTAGCTTAACCTAAAATCCTCAGGGAAATTCTTACTCTTTTAGTTATTTCATTTCAGAAAATAGGTAAAATGAATGAAAATGTCAGGGATTCAACTTCAAGACTACTAACTTCTCATACTTCTGATTTTTACATTGAAGATCACAGAAAGTGTGTTATGATGCTAAGGAGATTGGTGTAAGAGGTAGGGATATAGGGGAAATCTATGTCTACAGTGACTGGGGAATAATGATCTCCAAGGCTTTATTTCAGTTCTCACATACTCTGAGCTATATTCAATAGTTTTTTTTTAATTTAGTTTTTATAATTTTAAAGTTTCAACGTAACTTTTGTTTGTTTGTTTGTTTTTTAAGAGATGGGGGAAGGGAGTGAGAAAGAGAGGGAGAAAAACATCGATGTGAGAGAGAAACATCAACTGGTTGCCTCTTGTATGTGCCTGAAGGGGAGACTGACCCTGCAACCCAGGCATGTGCCCTGACTGGGAATCAAACCAGAAACCTTCTGCTTTGCAGGACAATGCCTAACCAACTGAGCTATGCAGTCAGGGCACTTGTGAACTATTCTTAATGAATGGATGGTAACTCTAAGAATGGAAAATGCAGAATTATAGCAGTATGGCCTTTCTTGGTAGCATGAAGAAGCAGATTATCCAACACCAACACTGTGTTCCACCCAAAGTAGGGTCACAAATCTGGCAACTAAACAAGGCCTTCATACAGGTTTTGTTTGGCTCACATTGAATTAAAATTTCTTAAAATTACTTTGCAATGTTTAAAATGGGATTTAAAAATCAGAAATTCCAGCTTTTCTTGGAAAATATCAGAAGATCTGGTAACATTCTGATGGAATTCTTAAGCTGTGTAGCATTGCCTCTACCCAGGGCAAAAGTTCTCCAGTTTACCACAGTTCCCACCATTCCCCATTGCCCCACACTTGGCCTATATTTCTCATTTTTGTTACCTGCCTGACACTGATGGCATCTGAATTGATAACACTAGTATATGGAATGAGCCAAGACATTTTATAATTCATGGTACAATATTTCTAATCAGATAAGGACTTTACACACACAAACCACACAACAGAAATAATTTCAGATGGCTTCTGCAAACAGAAGACATTAAAATTATATTTAAGCAAAAGGAAAAAAAAAGATACTTACTGAACCACAGCTTGACCTCGAGTCAGACCTTTGACTTTCAAGTAATGCTCAATTACCCTGTCCTCACTGTAAAACAAAGAAATGAACAGTTTGACAATGCATGATTACATGAGATACTGGCTTATTACAAGGTTCTCAGGTGGCTCTTTGAGAAGCTTGCAAAGGAAGGCCTTCATTAGCTTGATTGGAAGAGAAGCTGGCTGATATCTGTTTCTGTAGGACATGGATTCTGGAAGGATTCAAACCTCAGACATTTGATTACTTTGTCATGGTTTTTAATTCATATTTTATGTAATGTATTTATATAATATATATTAATACTTTAAAAACTTAATTTATTAGAAAAAGGAACATAATATCAATTTATCAAATGAAAAACTAATATCCTTTGTTATAACTGAATGAAATACAGTAAATACAGAATAATGTTAGTAAAGAGAGAGCAACAGGTATTAGGTATTAAAAGCAGTTTGCTTAAATTGTTCAGAAAGATTCAGAAAAAAATAAAACTGCTTCTGAGTTTATGTTCAATCTAAAATATTCTACTGTCACTATTTGGGACACGCGGCTTTGAGGGGAAACCCTTCATTATTGTCCTAGGATAAAATGGCAGCTGAAAGGGGGAGATATGAGTTGAAGTCCAGCGACCTTGGCATTCAGCTGTTGTACCCTACTTTCAGATAGGTAGCATTTTCAGTCATATTTCAAGTGTAAGCTAGAAGAATAAATGTTCTTATCTTTATATAACTGGAAATCAATAGTAATCAGTCTTTCTTTCCCCTTAAGGAAATATCACTTAACAATATTTTGTTTAGAAAATTCTAGACTCAGGATGCAATGTAACCTCAGTAGCCATTTTCACTGCTTATTTGGGAAATGTATTCCATCCTTCATATTAAAGCTGTTAATGTTGAATATTTATTTTTGAATCAGTTTTTTAGTAGAAAGGAAAACCATCTTCAGGGTTCAGAGCCTTAAACCAAATATATATTTAAAGGAATGAAAGTAAGTAATTCAAAGGGGAGTTGGACAACTTTCCTAGAAAAAAATGCCACATAAAAAATTGGTACTAAAGATTCATTAAAATACAAACAAATAACTGAAAATATACAATAATTTCTGGCCTTATAGGAAACTTCTGGTCATTCAAGTCATTTCCGGTATTTAAGAAAACCTCTATCCAAGGAAATCTGTATTTTATACCACTTATATTGCATTCTTCTAGCTTCAGACCATATTACACAATGACTGCACATCCACTGAGCATTATGTCACAAAAGCACACTCTGCAGAATCTCCACTTACTTTGATAAGAAGGCACACAGCCAGCTGTTCATTATAAATTACTATGATCGTGGTACAACGATTTCCAGGGAACTTTGACAAGATCCTTTCACTGAATGAATCAAAGTCTTCTTATGGTTACTCTGACACATTTAGTGGGCAATTTGATATTGTCTTCACTTATATTTCTTTTAATTTACTGCGAAGCATGCAGTTCTCAGTGAAGGCTGTGATAATGGGGTCACATGCCATCTCGCTCTGGCTTACCAGTAAGCAAGGGATGGGTGCTCCTGAAGAGTTTTGGTTGGAAAGGCTGGTAGAGTCTTTAAATCTTTCCTGGCATTTTCATCACTAAAAAGAAGAGTAAGACAGTAATGTCAGTCACTGTTACCTACAGTATTATCCAAGCTAGTAACCAGATGAATCTGAAAAATAGCTATGGCACACTGGGCTCTATCAAAATGTTCTCAGCACAATTAAGGCTCTGGTCTTTAACCAGAGATAGCTCCTAATTTGACAACCCTTCCAAATCATTTGCTACTTTAAAGTTTAAAAAGACAAAAAAATTAAAATAATCACATTAAGCTACCTAACACCATTTTCCTTTTCATAAACTTGCAGCCATTTACATTACATATTTCCTGTATGTATCTATATTATTACATAACTATTATTATATTGTGCACATTTCACAATGCTATTTTAATACAGCATTTTTCAAATTTTGTTATATACTTTCTCTACCTTTCTATAGCAATCTCATAATTATCTTTAGTGGCTACATAATATTCATCATTTTAAAATATGAGTTATCATAAAATCATTCACATAGTGTCACCAATATTTCATAATAGATATCACTGCAATAAAAAGGTTTAGGTGGACCTATCTGTTACTCATATGTTATTTCCTATAACTCTAAAATAAAATGGACAAAGTCAGCCATCTGTGGAAATCACTGGAATAGATGACTTAAAACTGTATTTCTAATGAGATTCAAGGTATCATTTAAATTGCATCAAGTGAACTAAAATGTACCCCATGTAAGGTCAGCTATTATCTAATTATAAAATGGCAAAATTCAGGTTGTCAAAAGAAAAGAGTATGGTCTTTACAGAGTTTAACAGAAAGAGAGCTGATGATATGGCCCAGTCATACTTGGTCCTACACTGCATGGGAGAAAACACTCTTTACCTAGCCCAGATATTTAAGGAGCTATGAGCACCTAGATCTGAGGAGCAGACTTGATTTTCCAGAGTCTATGAGAACCTAGAACAAGTCCCTAAAAGAGCTACTACAAGACTTGAAGAGGGAGCTATTCATCAAGCAGCGTGCCAATAACTCTACTACTTTCCACCTCTTCATACCTGTAGCCTAGCTACTCTTTGAAGAGAACTTACCAAGAGCCAGGCACCATGCAATGCACTTTGGGGGTATTACTGACCTCATGTAAGTCTCATCATAGCTCTTCCCATGCAGTAGGTACTATTTTTACCCAGCTTTGTGGAGGAGAGCGTGAAGTTTAGAGGGACTAAGCCACATGCTCAATGTCTCACAGCTGCTATGTGGAGAAGCCAGAAGTAAAATCTAGTCTGTTTGGCTTTAAAGGCCAAGACCATAACCATTATATTCTATTACCCGATTCACTGACAGACTCCCAGAGCGTGTTCTAGAGAGCCCACATAGATATTCTCATTTCTTGCAAAGGCATAGCTCCCCTTAACCCTCACCCCTAGTTACCAATGAAAATACGAACCCATTAGTCTCAAAATCCATCATTTATGCATTTTTACATTAGCTTCCCTAGGGTTTGCCCATATCATGATACTGAAAGAAAATGAACCCCCATCTGAAGGACCAAACACTGAACCCAAGGCGAATCTTCTACTGAAGCATTCATTCAACACTCATACATCACTTATAATAGGTCAAACAGGGAACCAAATACGGCCAGAAGACAGGTATTGTCTGGCCCACAATGTGCTGTGCTATCTTAGAAATTGCTCACTTCTGTCACTTGATCAGGTTTTGTGTAAGTGACCTTCTTCATTGTCTACAGAAGCTTGTTTTCTGGTTCTGGTTTCCAAGTTTCTTGACCATGCCATGGGCAACCAAGTGAACCCAATGAGCAAACTGTACATACTTACTGTCTTTCAGTAGGAGCAGAGAATTAGAGTTGAGTGTCACCTAGTTTGGAGACACTATGATCTGCACCTGCCAACATTTCATTTCAAAATCAGGTTCATGGCCCTTCTTCAAGGTGAAAGATCTGGCTTTACAAATTTCTACAGGAAATAAAGTCATTTGGCTCCTGTTCTTACATAAGGATAAGTCTCTCTATTTATTTGAAATCTGGGCAGTATGGCTTAACCACACTGACAATCTTGAGAAACTGGTTTGGGCTTCCTGAAAACCAAAATACATTACAGTCCAATTTATTCATACTAAAGGTCACCTGTCAACTTCCAGTAATGATATTTATTTTTCTTAATAATTTCTTTTATGTGATGTGTTGTCCTTCAAATCCAATTTCCTTTTTAAAGAAGTTGGCTTGCAAGTTTTTAATGAAGGGCAAATACATGTCTATGTTCTAAAATTATAGGCAAAAAACACTTTTGTTATTAATCATCACCACAAACTACATGCATGTTGTGTTATCTTCTGGATCCCCGTGAACTGTATGAGCCCCGCATTCACTTATTCTTTGGATTATGGTTAATTTTGTGGCAACCAAGACCTCACTAGAGTAGAAGCTGTGATTTACTATAAGTTCATTTATTCATTTAGCAAGTATGTATTACGTGTATGTACTGCATACCTAGCAAGAGAAAGCAAGTGTCACATGATAAAGTTACCCACTTTCCCTAATCCTATTGGCCAGAATGACATGAGTATCCTTAACTGCAAGGGGTACTGGGGTATGTAGTCTTTATTTGGGAAGCCACATGGCTAGCTAAAAATTCTATTAATGTGGAAGAAAGGGATATTGGATAGTGGGGAAAAATAATCAGACTCCATTGTTGATAAGGAACCATTACTCAAATCTAGGAAATTTCTGCCATGTCGGAATGGGTAGCCACTACTGATTGCATGCTTTCAAAAATAAGGCAAAATCTCAGTTTTATGTAAGATATCTGAATTTTAAAATATCGTGTCAGCAAAAACGGCCTAAAATAAAAACTAAGACATTTTTTAGTTCAGGCCATATATTTGTAAAAAATACCAGCAGACCATCACTGTCACTTTGCAATTTCTGACACAAACTTAGTAAAGAATGGATAGGGAGAGGCCTTCTTAGCTTCTCAACTTGGTTTCCAGTTTTAGAAAATTTATTAATAGTTCAAAATTGTTAGTAGTGCATGAGTAAAAGAGATACATAAGTAATTTTGACTAATGTTAAATCTGGACCATCCCAAATTATTACATTCTCAGGAAAGAATACAACCTTTTCTCATTGTATTGGAAAAGACTGCTCCTCCGAAACTGGTTACTTGTGCTATTGCAAAACATCTTTTCCTTGTGAATATAAAGCATTACTTTCCAAAGAGGACCTATTCAATAACCCATTTCAAACAAGCCACCACTTAAATCAAGGTGACTGAGCTATGGACCTAGCTGCAACACTAAAAGAAAGCTCCAGCAGGATCCAAAGATGGTTGAAACAAACATCTTGGCAGAAAGATGGGTTAAATCTTGTAGAAAAATGGTGCACAGAAGTAGAAATCCAAATGGCTAACAGACAGAAGCAAGTGTTCAGCTTTATGAGTACACAGAGAAATGTCTATTAAACCCTCAGTGAACCACCATTATGCACTGGACTACCAAACTTTTAAAACTCTGACAATACAGAGTTTACATGAAGATGTAGGACAAGAGGAATACTCCCTCCCATCCATTGCTAGTGGGTAGGGCAATTGCTATGATCATTTTGGAAATCTGCATACCCTAGGACCCAGGGTTCCTTTCGTAGGTATATATTGCAAGAGATACACAAAAGAGAAAGGTTTATATCAGCATTGTTCACAATAGGACAACAAGAACAACAACAAAAAACTCAAATATTCTCCAACCATAGAGATCAAAATTGCAGTGTAATCATACAACAGATGACTGCAGAGCAGAGAAAAAAACACTGGAGCTTCACAAAGCATGATGAATCTCACAAATATTAAGCAAAGAAGCAAGAGCCAAAATACATATATTAAAATGCCATATATGTAAAATTCCAAAACAAGTAAAATGAGACTGGAGAGAATCATACAGAGGTGATAAAGCTATAAAACAAAACAAGAAAATGTGTACCAGAGTCAGAGTACCTCTCGGGATAGAGGATTTTATTGTGGGTGGGCAGGGTGTTGGGAGTCACTGTACACAGTGAAGTGAGTGGGGTCTTGGCAACATTCCTCACTGGGTGGGCTTATGTAGCCTTGCATTTTCTAATTTGTTCCTTAAACCCTATATACAGGTTTTATGCATTCTTCAGTATGACAAAATTCACCTGGAAAACTGAGGGTACAGAGGAGCAGCCTGTGTAAGAGGCCAGGGCTTACTAACCAAAAAGTTTAACCACCAGAATGTTAGAAACACTGGCACATTATCCTAAAGTTAATCCCAGTCATTTTCAGAGTTTAGGACCAAGTAGGATTTCACGTTTGAGTGGAGGACAGTATCTGAGTGTTTATTTATTTGCTCTTAGAAGAACCTTGGCTGGGGAATTTGCCTGGAGCCTGAGGCCACATGGGTCCGCTGAGCCCCCTTCCCACTCCTGGCAGGAAGGGGGCTGGGCTTACGTGACTCAGGATCAAGAGGGAGGGCCTGAAAGCAGGCCGGATGTGAGCCACCTGATGGGGTGTCTCTGCCTTTCCCTAGCAGTAAATGCACCCACTCTGGGTGCACGTTCTTGACCTAAATGGCAAATGGAAGTGTTATTTTAAAGATGCACTTGACCAGAATTGCCAGGGGGCACTGATTCTTCAGGTCCTAGACGGAGAGAATGCCTATAAACCAAAGACTTGCTACTTCTCAGAAATGAAACCAGCAATTGCTTTCCTTCATAATTTTGGCAGGAATTCAGATGTCACAATGAAGAACATGCTTGTGTTTTATCTGATTAGGCTCATGCTATCCTTTAGGTGCTCTAGATTCCTGTTCTGACAGCTTTCTGGAAGGAAGCTGCCCATGACCCACCAATTTAACCACTGCAACAATGTTTCAGGCAATGATTCCTTTTGGCATTGTCAAACCCCCTTTCATAGCCTGGTGTTTTTCTTCACTGACCTCAAAAACTCTGTAGGAATGTGCTGACCTCACTTATTTTCGGGAGAGCCACATGGTTGGCAAAATTGAGGCCT